TCGAGATGCAACCGAAATAAGTTACGGGCCATATCGTCAACGATGGTAGAAAAAAATACATTCTATGGGATATAACCACGAAATTGATGAAACGATGAGCATTTGTGAGTCATGCCGTAGCGTGATATCTCATAATAGAAGTCCAGTTATGAAAAACGCCGATTGGTTGGAAATGAAGTAAATATTCAACCGTCAACTAGTGGGCAGCAGCATAGTGATGATCCAGGTCCATCAATGAGTGGCCATCAATCCGTAGATGAGCTAGGTAAGAACAGTCATCCTGATGATTCTATCAACTTTTAACTGCAACCTCCTAATTGCACTTATTAATTATTTTTTCTTCTTCTTTCCTTCAGATACGGTACATCGGTTCCATCATTGAAGTCAGTTCCATCAGCAGATGATCTGCAACGCCCATACAATGTTGAGAAGTTTAATGGCTTTGTGTAAACGTTGAATTTATCTCCAATTTCATCGAGGAACATGAGGAGCATGGATTATCGTTCAATAAAATCTCTAAATTACACAAGCAGTGTGAAAAATATATTTGGCCTAGATACAGCAGACATTAGTGTAGAGGCATACGAAGAAATGATTGTGCAGCTAAAGGAGAAGTTCAATTCCCCTACAGCTGACAGAAAAGATCAGATAACAGTATTATCAGTATTGCCAAACTCTTGGTCCGTGAATAAAGTTGTAGCAGAATCCAACGCACCAATGAATGATTTTTTTGACAAGGTCTACATGTCCAAATAGTTTTATTGAACTCTGAGAGGGTGCTGCCAATTCCAAATACGATTTGGCGAGAAATGCATCATGAGCCCTTTTCATATGAAATTCTCGATTAATCAAAGTGAACTTAAGTGCTGATTAGACAAAATTGAAGCGCAAATTGAGCTTCATTGGATTCTGAGATGATTTTGAGCTTCAGTTAGTTTAGTGAAAATGGAAAATCAAAAAAAAAAATCAGTTCAGACATGAAAAAGTTTTTGCAAGAAAAACTTGTTTTCCTTAAAAGTGCCCATCTCGCGATGTATGGACGGTTGGTAGTAAACATAATTACCTATCTTGAGGCAAAGTTTCATCCAAATCAAACATGGCCATTTTTTTAAATTGACTTTAAATTTTAAAAATCGATTTTTTTCGGTGTAGGTCTCAAATGAAAATTTCAAAATTTCCAGTATTTTTTTTTCGATAACTATTTCCTAAAAGTCATCCATACAACACATTTTTGTAGGAGTTGTCATTTTTCCATAATATTTTTTTGAAAAAAATCGGAAGAAAAAGTTTGGCCCTTCTCAAACGTTAGTCCAGATAAATTTTGGAAAAACTAAGTATGCAAAGTGGCATATTTAGTCAAGGTCCACACATCCAGAAAGTTTCATTGAAATCTGAGAGGGTGCTGCCAGCTCCGAATACGATTTGGCGCGAAATGCGTCTTCTGCGTAAGCTCCGTAGACGTAGGCGCGTTGAATCCGACAGTCGGTAAAGGTTTAACCTGTACCAACACCGCTTAAGAAACGACCTCGAGTCAGTAAAACCGTTTAGAGCTAAACATCTAAATTACGTAAGATACGAAAATCGCGCAAATTATGAACGCCACGCGAAACAACCGTAGAGAAAAAAACAGCTTATTATCACTTAAAGAGTGCCACCAAAATAAATTTGATAGCCTATGTTGGCAAGTTAATTAATTTTGGTTTCCTCCTTAAATATTTTACTTATTTTACCGTTGAGTTTTGTTACAATTTAGTTATTTTACCGCACGTATCAATCATTTCAAGATTTCGCGACCGTACCGAACAAATTATATACTACAGAAGCTCAATTAAACTTTTGATGAGCTCTACCGCATTGCGAATCACTTCTGCGTAAGCTCCGTAGACGTAGGCGCGTTGATTCCGACAGCCGCGAAAAGTTAAACATGCATCAATACCACATAAGGAAAGATCGATTTTACGTAGGGTTTAGTTCATAAATTAACATTGAGTGCTGTTTAAAAATGTAAGTACTTGAACACTAAGAAATAAGTTAACTCAAATGCTTTAACCGCATATATAAGAGATTTCGCGTATTGAGAGAATAATATAGTAATTGAGTACAACAAACTCAGGGGAATACAATATCTTCAAAAGTTTAAAAGTTATTAATTGTCACATACCTCTACTTTTACTTACTTCCTAAACTATTCCTCTCCTTGTTAATCTGCTTAATGCTATTGGTCTGCCTGCGTTTTCTTTTTAAAGTTCAAGACTAAATAAGAAGATTTATTCTACAACTTTAAAGGTTAGTTGCCTCCCTGAGCGAACCCTTTCTTCGAATTCTTTTTAAATCTACTTAATGTCATTAGACTTTCTGAAGTTTCTTATTGAAGTTCATTTGATGATTATGATATCTCATTAGTCTTATTTAATAAATTATTGAAAGCTCTAATTCACCTAATCAATCATAACCCATGCTTTATTAAGTACCTGCACTTGTGCTTGTAATCTAAAATTAAACGTGTTTCAAGTATTTTTGATTTAAGCCTATACCTATTTATTATATCTTAGTTCGACTCAGGTAACACCTTCATGTGACTAAAATACTTCATTTTGAAGTTAGTTTCCTAGCTGATTTTTAAATTATATAGGGTATATGCTTCAACTATGCTCACACGCTTCCACTATGTTGCACCACAAAAATACGTATGGGTATGTCACAATCAGGGCTCTACAATTTCGAAGCTCTAAAATGAATTTGTGTTTTGTTTCTCTCATACATACGTGTTCGACGCTTCATTTCTATAACGCCTAGCTAGACTATCAGCAAGAAACGAAAATAAAAAAGAAGGACGCTTGGAAGGAAAGGCTGGCTGTGGAACTTCTCGTCGTTGCTTTGCTCATCGCTTTCAATGTAAATAACGTCGATTTTCTAGTTAAACGAACTTCATTATGGCTTTCAATCCCCTTTCACGAACACTCTATCGCCGCTCTTTCAATTTGTTTAAAATGCGTTATGTCCCGTTTTCGATCATTTTTTTAGATAAATATATGGATGGAAGATAAATTAGAAATATGACGTGTAATCTTCAAGTGTTTTGACGTGAGAAATGCTTTAAATGTTTATTTCATTTTCCGTCATATACGTCATGAAACCTCTGTTGATGTGTTTCATGAAAGAGAAAACTATCAAAGTCGAGCGCTCTTTCGCTCATCCATTTCGACGAAGCTTGAAAGGAAGACCAATGGAGTGACGGGAGAAAGAGAGACAAGCGATTGAACATTTGTTTGTGCACGCCGACTGAGGTTCTAGAATGCTGCGAAGCTGTTCGACTTTAACAGAAAAAGAAAGCCAGCAGTCTCTTCGTCGCATCGATTTGGTCGATTGAAGCTGATATTGTGACGCCCTGGTCACAATAGAAGCACGCCACAGTGGAAATCCCGAGCCATAGTTTAAACACTTATCCCAAATCAAAATGAAGCACATATAAGATTAGTCACAATACCATGTACAAAAATGATGTTTAACATTGTTTCCTGAGTAATACTTCAATGAAAACAACAATGAAAGCTTGTCAAGCAAATAGAAGGAGCGCTGTTGGGCACTTTCTGAAATATTTCAATAGTCTAATTCCCTTGCAAACCCAAATAAATCTATCTGCGTAAAAATAAATAAAATAAGAGTGATTTGTGGCAAAACCCGCCAGTATCACACCCAACGTCAGTGCCTATACGTAAGCGTACTATGACGCGGCTCTCAATTAAAGGAGTAACAAGTGTGATACTATTACTGCTAGACTAGATCTTTGGTTCTCTCATGCAGTGGTTTATCAGAGAGGGGAACCATCGTAATCCCTATTGCCTGCCCATGATGCCATTCTATCGCGGCATGGGCCAGCAACGCCGACCATAAACCTACCGTCTCCAACACTCCACTATAAAGCATGAAATTAAGCCCGCTAACCAACAGCAAGGTGCAAAAACTAGCCAAGGGGAGGGACTTTAAACGCAAATTTATGAATCAAAACACACCCTCGTAGATTAACAATGCCATTCGATAAATTAAGTTTACTCTATCAGATGCTGGTATTTAATTGCATGGATGTGTCATTATTTTCGTTTGGCTTTTCCGCCCATTTCAAATGTTGATCTAAAAATATGGATCATACTGATATTTATTATGGATCCTTGGATTTTTACCAGGGTTTAATGGATCATTTTGGTGTTTTTTAAGGAATGAGTTTCAACTTTTAGGGATCATTTATTAGTTTCTATATGCAAAAAGTGTGATTGCCTGAAAGGCTACTCACGTTAAATTAATAATTCATCTATTAAAAGTGTACAACTTTAGTTCATACTACATACATCGTTCGGAATAATTCGAAAGCTTCAAAATCACGTTGAATTTCATAATTGTGTAAATTCAGGGTTGTATGGTCTCTGGATTACCACAATTCTGAAATTTTACGGGATTTTTAGGATTAAAAATTTTCCGAACGAACGAAGTTGTATATTTTTTATAGATGTCGGAGTCCTAGATCGTAAAATTACACTAAACTAGATCGTAAAATTACGCACGGTACGTTTGAAATAGATGAATTCTTGTCAAGTATTCTGCCAAACGGCATTCGGTTAAATGACCCAATACTATCACCATAAGTCTGTTAATGACATAAATTAAATATGTATCTTGCATTATTTCTCCCTAAGCCATTTTTGCATTATATATGAGAGAGTCGATGCAATTTGTTCGGTCACTTGAGAAGGAAACAAGATTACTATTCGTTAATTCTTTTTTATCTAGATTATAATTATTCTAGTCATTCGCAACTTTTTACAGATAATAAATTTTAACCAGCAACTTTAAAGGTTAGGATGGGACATACCAACCCTACGCTCGACCTTTCTTTCACTCCTTTATTGTGTGAGCCATGAAGGATCACATAAAACAAACCTAGAATCGCTTCTCAAGCGTCGAAATGGGTGGAAGATTATTGCATTAAAAACAACTGGACTTACCGAAGCACCGGGTACTATATCTCCGAATCCGATGCTGCTTAGTGAAATAAAGCAGAAATAGCTGCCATCTAAAATATCCCAGTTTTCCCAATCGGCAAACAACCGGGCTCCGAAAAATATATACCTAAAACGAGAAGGTGGTAGAAGAAAGAAACAATTAGCGAAAGGGTATAAAATAATTTGTTTATATTTCAAGGAAGCAAGGAAACGCTTAGAATTAAGGATCCTACAGGTAAGCGACTTCAATAACTCACCCGATCATTATCATTATACAAATTGTAATTGGAACGGTAACAGTGTTCGTCTCGGCAGTGATTTCTTCCTCAATCTCATCGTCCACGTTGGAGGTGGTGATTGTGGCTGTGTCGAACCCGTTGTCACCCAGTTCCGACTGATTGACGATGACGGTGTGGTGGCATGGATTACGTCCATAGGTCATGGAACAAATATATAGGAAAGAGAAAATTTCGTTGTAAAATATAATACCGAAGATAAAAATTTATGGTCACACTTTGTTTCATTTCACCAAGGTGCTCAACGAAACGAATGGAGCATTTGCTCCTGGTAGTTCCATTTCTCACGCCATTGTTACCGTTCGCAACATAAATTAAAATGTGTGCATTTTCGTAAGCATCATCAGGCCATAGTACTGGGATGTTGGTACGGAAAATGCAACGTGACGTTCTTTTTTCTTTATGGCAAATGGTAACAGGAAAAACAGCACAACAATGATGAAGGAAAGAAGCGGAAAACAGCGTAACAATAGAAAACAGGAAAATACTATTCTTCTCAACACCTTCGCATGGATTTCTTGCCATTAACATTCAACGCAGGTTCTGGTTCGTACATTTCTTGGTCTGTGGCACAAAAGCACTCGGGTTGAGAATCACTGGGCAGGGATGAGGTGAAAATAACACAGTTCACACTTTAACGACTTGAAGCAGGGACAAGGACAGATATTCCTACCAATGAAGAGGTGGCATGGTTGATCAATTGGGTGGGAAGCTATTTGTGGATTTCTGAGAAGCACTTTTCCTTTAGAATTACTTTTTCCTTTTCCGAAAGTAATTGATTTGCATGTGGAATGGTTAATTTTCTATTTTAGTAAATGCAGTAATAGGGGAAATGGCTATAATGTTGGCCTATGGATCTAAGATTGGGCCCATTGCTAAAAATCTGCTATTTAACAAATTTTATCTAGATGAACTTGGAACGGTACTAATGGATATTTTTTGGTCGTTATTGAAAATTTAGTTGATTGCTGAATTTATGCATGGGCCCAAATTAGGGGCATTAAGGCCGACATTAAATCCATTTCACCTACATTGTGTGGTTGCCATATTAAAGAGTATTTAAAAGTGTGTAAGCGTTATGTAAAATAGTGTATTGCTCTGTAATTGTTGCTCGTAGCAAATATAACACTATGGGTGCATTTGGTGTGCAAAGAAGGGATAAATATCAACCCTTCTAATAGCTATCAATAACTTAAAATGGAAAGGAACATCTTTGGAACTTTCACGCACAGTCAAGTATCAGGAAGTAAGTCTTGACAGTAAACTTAACTGAAATTCGCATCTAGAGCAGGTTGCTAATAAGGCAACAAATGTTCTTTGGATATGTAAAAACATTTCTTGTAGGAAATGGGACCTAAAACCAAAAATGATCCCCTGGATCTATTTGAAGATTGTAAGACCCGAACTAACCTACGCATCATTGGTTTGGTGACCAAAAACTAATGAAAGATCGGCTCAGAAGAAGCTAAGGAACCTACAAAGACTAGCTACTCTCTAAAAAACTGGTGCAATGAGCAGCATACCGAGTATGGCACTTTAAGCTCTACTTTATCTGCTTAAGTTGCTTCCATTTATCCAATTAGAAGCTGAAAGATGTGCTTTAAGGGTTCACCGGAAAAAGCACTTCCTGGAAGGTGATCTTACAGGACACATTCGTGTTCTAAAAATGTGTGATGTTTATTTTCTTTTATTAAAAAATCAAGATTGGATGGAGAAAAAAATACCATTTCGATCGTTTATACAATGTGCCAGAATGTTATCGAAATATTTGGGAAAGTGGGGATCAAGCATCCGTACAAGTTCAATTGTCTTTTAAACAGACGGTTCAAGATTGAACAATCGTGTGGGAGCAGGGGTAACTAGTTCCCCGAGCAAAGCAAAATAACAACCTGATATCATATTGAAAACAATTCTTGTTATTGTAGATATAATTTTGTTTTTAGTCGTTATCGCATAAGTAATTTAGTTATCAACCTCGGCTAATTTTGAAATCACTTGTTATCATGAAAGAATATGAAATGATGCAAGGTTAGTTCAAAACTTCAAATAATATCCACATGGCAAGAAAACAACACTATCAATCATATATCAGTTATCAGTGTAAGGCTTAAATACCAAATCGATAAATTAATTTAAAGTTTGTTGAACAATAATTGCATGGATCACAGGATTGGTTATTAAGATGTTTTTATTGATAATCAGTTATTTTTTGATATCCAAGGAGTATTATTTTGTTATAATTTGTGTTATGTTGGCTGTTTATTCAACCAAAATGATAACATGTTCAGTTATCAAATCTTGATAACCGGTATCAGAACTTGTTATCTATTTGGTATAGTCCTTTGATCGGGCCAGGGATGGCTTTCTCAAAATCGATGGGTTATTGACCAACCGTGTTCTAAAGCGGACATTCAAACAATTCTTGAATGCCTACCCGAGCAAAGAGCGGCGCCGGTGGTGTAGTGGTATGCGTGATTACTTCTCACCCCAGCAGGCCTGGGTTCAATCCCAGTCGGCGCCGCCGGGATGTTCTGAGGCATAACATCTCTGATCACGCCTAGGGGAGTAAAGCCGTTGGTCCCCGGCTCATGAGTTGATGGGTCGATAGGTAGGGTCCAGGTGAGGGCGTCGGTAGCATTGGTGCTCAGCATGGAAAACAAGATCGACGTAAAACAAATCAAGGGAAAAAAAATACCCGAGGAAAGGATTATACCAGATTGATAACAATTTCTGATACCCGGATATCAAGGTTTGAAAACTGAACGTGTTATCATTGTGGTTGAATAAATAGCGAACATAATAAAAAATATAAGAAAAGAATACTCCTTGGATATCTCAAAACTAACAGATTTGGTTATAATTGAAACCATCTTGGTAATAAATCTTGTGATAAATGCAAATTTTGTCAAAAAATTTCAAATTATTTCATTGATTTGGTATTAAAGCCTTACGTTAATAACTTAAATATGACTAGCAGTGTGTTTTTTTTTTCATACCATGTGGATAATATTTGTAGTTTTGAACTAACCTTGCATCATTCCATATTCTTTCATGATAACAACTGAGAACAACATAAGACGAGGTTTATAACTAAATAAGTTATGCGATAGCAACTGAAAATAAAATTATGTTTGGAATAACAAGACTTGTTTTCAAGATGATATCAGATCATAGATATCATAGCAAGCAGCTTCAAACGCTTTAACATCAGCAACATTTAATTCAAAACTTGTATGGGAATGTACAGTTTCAATTCAGAAATTGGCCTGTCGAAACCAAGTGAACCTACATTGGGATCCTGGTCACTGTGGGGGATTGAAGGGTACGAAAAATCTTACACGTTAGCCAGGATCATGTCAACAATTCATAAAACCAGAACCATTATGTGGAGATTCTGCTTGTTCTCCTAAAATGGAGATTAATAAATGGGAAAAAATAAATAAAAGATACACCAACTGGAGCTACAATTCCATTGCAGTCGAAACGGTTCATAATCCCGAACATTTCAATGACTATTAAAATTATTTAATTATCATGAAAGAGCTCATTGCTAGGGTATAGACAGGTTTGTAATTTGGGAGGGCGGCGGTGTACAAAAAATATGGAGAATTAGGTTAGACGCCGATTAGTTGAATACCATTATACCGAACGCTATTATACCGGTTGGATTACCAGGTCGATCGTCGTTTATTCGAAAATGAATTTTCAGTCAAACTTCGGCAAATGTATTTTGTGACTCCGACAACTAAGCAAAGCAAAATAATAAAAACATCTTTTGTATCCCTAGTTTATTTAAATTGTCAATAAACATGTTATTATAAAGATGTTGCACTTTTTTAAAATGAAAATGATTTTAATATTCTACAATTTAGTGAACGTTCAAAATAAAAAGATTTCTTAATTTATCGAACACATTCCCAATTCCTCATCTCATCTCATCTATTTATCTTTAACAACTTACAAAATTATGTTTGAAAACTTAGTCTTAGTAGAGATCTACCATTTTATTCGATAACAGTTTTTCAATAATCATCATTGACTTGAACATTTGTTAGAAGCATTTTATTTTAGATTTTTCTTAAAGTATGGGTTAGGATTAGATAAAAAAAATGGCACTTATGATTATTTTTAGATCATCCTGGAATAAACTTCACAAAAGTCGTATAAATCGAAAATTTTATTTTGTTATTTGGAATTCCCTTCAAACTTTCACCATCTACTGAATTTTTTGAAATTCCTTCTACAGTATTGCAGGTATTCTCATGAAATCTCGCATTTCAGTATTATATTCTATGTATAAAATAATCTTGTTATATTCATTACAATTCCTTTGGTAATTTCATCAGATTTACCTATAAGCATTTTTCAGAAACTTTCCTCAAAACACTCCTGAAAATTTCTTCAGAACTTTGTTAAAAATTTTCTTAGAATGTTGCAATGGGTTTCCTAATATTTATTAAAAACCCATTGAAATTAACTCTCGAGCTAAAAATTTCTTTAGAACTCTAGCCAACATTGTCAATCTTTGAAGTACCTGACTGTTGAAAATCAAGCTAATTATAAGAACTTTGAAAATATTTCAATATGTCAGATTCTTGGGAAAGTTTTAAAGTCATTGGAGTTTCGTAAAAAGAAAAAAAAAAATCAAAGTTACAAATTGGTTTTAAAGAACAAAATATTTTAAAACTGTTCTTAGTCCTTCAACAAAAACCCAGGATTTCCGTAACCTGTAATTATCAAGAAAATAAAATTGTTGGTTTTTCGAATTTACTTAAATAATGAATCTAACTTCAATCTGATGCCGAAACTCAAACAAATATGGATGATAAATATTAAAAAAAAATTGCGGCTGGGTTGTCCCCCCTCCCCCTGGTTTGTCTATACTGGTTTGATAACAGGTCATTGTTATAAGAAAACTTCAAGAGGATATGTGTCGATTCTGTGGCATAGAAAAGAAAGACTCTCAACACCTGATATGCTCTTGAACTGCAATCTTAAATAAAAGACGTATTTTTCTGAATAAGGGACTGGCAGAACCCTTTGATAGTAGTAGTACATTTCATTCGGAATATAAACCCTGGCAGGGAATTTTTTTATTGGTCAGACTATGTCGGTCGCTTCACAAAATAGTGATACGACATACTGCTAAAGCAATAAAAAAATATAGCACAATAGATCAAAGTAATGGTTGCAGTGATGACTATATCCAACACAAAAAAAAGGCTAAAATCTTATAAGAAAAAATAACATGGCATGCTAACGAGATCTATAAAGGGTGTCCACGATGAAATTGCCACACTATGAAATTGCTCTAACTTTTTAACCGTTGGGTAGAATTTAATGAAAATTTGGGTGGATTTAGTTCATAGTGCATTATTTACATCCTGCAAGTTTTAAAGTCATGTGATCAAAACTCGCGGAAATGGAGTCGAAAGAACAGCTCGTGCGTGATAAAATCTTGCGCATTCATCACGAGAACAAGGATCTCTCGCATCGTTCCATCGCTAAAACGTTGGGAATCGCGAATTCCACGGTGTCGCGAGTGATTAAGCGGTTCGAGGAACGGTTGACCACCGATCGGAAGCCCAGAAGTGAAGGAAAAAGTATTCCGTACAACACCAAAAATCACAACCGCGTAGTTGGGGCCTTCAACCGAAATCCGAACGCCTCCGTTAGGGATGTGGCTAAGAAGCTGCACCTAAGCCGGAGTTTTGTCCAGAAGGCCAAAACTAAGGCTGGGCTTCGAACGTTCAAGGTACAAAAGGCCCCTAATCGCGACGAGAAGCAGAACAAGTCCGCCAAAACCCGTGCCAGGAAGTTGTACCTCAACATGCTGACGAAAGTTGAATGCTGCATCATGGACGACGAAACATATGTGAAGGCTGACTTCAAACAGATCCCCGGCAACCTGTTTTTCACGGCCAAGGATAAGTTCAGCGTTCCGGAGCATGTCCGCACTCAGAAGATGTCCAAATTTGCGAAGAAATTCCTGGTTTGGCAAGCCATCTGCACGTGCGGGAAGCGGAGTGCACCTTTCGTGACCCAGGACACGATGAACGGACAGGTGTACATAAAAGAGTGCCTCCAGAAGCGGCTGCTTCCTCTCCTGAAGGCCCACAACGTCCCAACAATCTTCTGGCCGGATTTGGCCTCATGCCACTACTCCAAGCACGTGCTGAAGTGGTATGCGGACAATAAGGTCAATTTCGTGCCGAAAATGTTCAACCCTCCCAACACTCCGGAGCTCCGCCCCATCGAGAAGTACTGGGCGATTATGAAGCAGCACCTTCTTAAACGACCTAAGGTAGTGAAGACAGTCGAGGAACTGAAGAAAGTATGGGTTTACATGCAAAAAACGGTTGAATCACAGGTTGTGCAGAATCTTATGGCCGGGGTTAAGGCCAAGGTGCGAGCATTTGCGTATGGACTGTAAATAAAATACGAGTAAAATGGTAAAATGAAGTTTAATAGTTATTTCTCAATCCCTGAAAATTTGATGGCAATCGGATGAAAACTCGAATTTTGCGAATCAATTTTGTGTGTGGTAATTTCATCGTGGACACCCTTTAGATCGTAGACTCAACTACATAAGACTTTAATATAGTCCACCAAGAAAGGAAAAGGTTTTGCAAAAAGTCATGACAAAGAAACTATAGAACCAAGCTCATCCTATATGCGATCAATTCACCGCTTGTTTGTTAGTATAGATGAAGGATTTCCATTAATTTTGAAGACATTAAGTGATTCTATGAAAATGTTCTTTGTATATAATTAATAGTAGGATAAAAAAAAAGTACAAAATGATGCTACAACCGAAGAATAAAATGAGAGACCAACAAATGATAGAGTTCTCCAGTTGCTTTTGAAAATGTTACTACATTGTATGTGCGAAGTAACGGACAATGCAACACTCATGCGCTATTGCATTGGTAAAACGCCTTCCAGTTCTAACACTGCATCTTTTATATCGTCCCGTATCCTGCGGAATCTGTTGGACCTGTGCAAGCTGAAGGTCACGTGCAACATGTACAACAGTCCATCACTGCCAAGAAGGAAAACGATGCAGATCTGCTGCAGAGGCAAAAGTGTTTCTCAGCATTTACCATTTGGAATCAGGCACAAATGCAAAAAAAAAAAAAAAACAGCCAACCGCAGCCAAATGGTATGGTGTATGCCAAAAGAAGGTAAAGCTAGAAATGCGAATTGTACTTTGGTGAAGGATCCTCGTTCAGGAACAAAATCTGAATCCCGGTGCAAAATAAATTTAAATTTTCAATTACACTGCAAAAAGAAGTGGTGGAATTCTAAAACAAACCATCTGCTTTGCCACCCCCTCCCCTCCCTACCCCCTCACAAAACAGCAGTACTTCGAATCGCAAACAGACAAGACAAGCAACAATGTTGACTTCGGTTGCACTTTCTGCATTCAGAGCGGCAACGGTTCAGGTCAATGGTGTTGGAGTGTCGAATCGAAGCCTGTAGCATTTGCACCGGTAGAGAAGTTCAGCAACGTAGAGATACTGAAGGAAGAGGCAATGAAAAAAAGCAACAGTGCTAAATATGCTCCTGTCAGGCCAGACAGGTGTAAGCGGTTGAAGCGAAATTAATAAAATTGTTTATTCGGCATTGCATTACACATGCAGAGGGTTTTGCTTCCGGTTTAGCATTGCAGTATGGTGAGGATGGTTGTGAGGCCAATGTTTTGCAATGCAGCACTTACCTGGTAGTCACGTTCCTCAGTCCTGGCTCTACGTCTGGCTCGAAGGGCACGCCGTCGGGCTACACCCGGACATACTCTACACAAACAGAATTTGGCGTAGATCCATTTGAACGATTTGGCCAAAATATCACCTGGCACACGAGCATCATTTTCGGCAACGGCACGGGCGGGTTGTGTCAGGAAAGAGCACATCGTTGGAAACAGATACCGAAAAAAGAGAAAAGCAAAGGTGAAAAATTAGAACGAGTTTAAATCCCACTTGAACTATCCAGCAAGTTTCTACTCCTTTTTTGGAATGGAAAATGCTTTGCAAATGTAAGCAACTTACCTATGTTGGAAAGATAGAGCAGGAACAGTGGCATTCCTATGATTGCGTAAAATATCGTTGCAATTTTACCCCACTCTGTGCGAGGAACTATATTGCCATAACCTAGAGGAGTAGAAAATGTGCAGAAAGGTAAGTTTCATAAAAGTAATGCTGAGGAAAATAGAAAACTTCAAAAGTAGTTTGTACAATTTCTAAACTTATTCAACAACTCCTAACGTAAAAACCAGTTCGTGCTTGCTTCAGGGAAATTGTTTCATCGGAATAAAACTGTTCTTGAGAGATGAACTTTACCACAATAAGATCATCCTTAGCGTTGCGTTGAACCAACAAATTTGGATAAATATTTGAAGAATTCAAAACATGTTTTTGATATTCCGATTGCCGTGTTTTGGATGTTTGATAAATAAAGTACTAATTGCACTTACACTGTTTATCCAGTTTTGAACGTAAGTGCAATCACTTACTCTTGTTATATAAGCAAAACTTTTCAGTCAGCACTTTTTTCAACAGTCAGTCAGCCACGCTTCAAGGTAGCAACTCAAAGGCTTAAACGGGATATGTTTTACCTTCGTCAATTGCAAACCAGTGTAAGTGTGATGTTCTTGCTGCAATTGGTAATATGTAATCCTCTTCAACGAATGGTCTCTGGTATTCCGTCAGATGAAGAAATACTAGAGCCTTACCTTAGTTTAACTTAGCACTGTGGCAAGGACAGCTTACGAAAAAATAGAAGTTTTGTCTATATTTCCAGTATTTAAAGGTGTCAAAGAAAATCTACACTAAAACGGGAATTCGAGAGTTGATTTTATTGACATTAAGTTCAAATTAACTAAAATAAGAAGTGCCAAAAATTCAAAGGCGTCGTGTAAATGAAAGCGAATGCTAGTGGCGTGCGAAACTATGTGATCAAAAAGCCAGACCTACAGTTGGACTACTAGTAGACGAACACAAACGAAATCTGGTCCAGGACAGCACTAAGTCGAAAGAAGTATGAGAGAGCCTGAAATGGATCTACGAACGTACCACGAAGGTTTTCATTCTAAAGAAACTGTGCGACATACGGTATACCGATGGACTATGAGAAGATCCCTTACAAACAGGTGGGCAATAATATGTTTGTCACTTAAACTGATTGTTTGATATCCTAGATATATGTTTGGGCATATTTCAACCCTTAACTCTACATTTGCGTAAAGCTTTGCAAGCTTTTTCATCTAAACAATCGGATATGGATCCTATTTCATTATTTCTTGTCCGATTTTGATGTAACAACTTTCAATAGATCATATTTTATTTCTAGTTTTGATATCTTATACACATTGATATATTTCAGATGGAATAGATTTTCAATCGATACAGATGGTATACATGTTAAAAACATATTTTTTTAAATTTATTTTTTCTCACGATAGCGCAAGTAAGCGCTGCTGAATCCACCTCTCAAAGTTGCGCCTATGTTTAGAATTCAATCCCTCATAACTGGTTTAGAGCAACTAAGGCTGTGAACCATTTGCTGGGTTAAATTTAAATCTTGGTTAAAAGTGACATTTCGAAAGTTATTTTCTATGTTCGAAAATCCCCGTGGTGTCAATCGTCCGGTTTTCGAGCCACGGTTGTCAAAATTTAACTTCTGGTCTGTCAGAAATAACCATCGATAACTTTCCATCTGTCAAATTTTAACTAAAAGAAGGAAAAAAAAACTTGCCAAATGGTTCAGAGCCTAAGAACGCGTTTGACTTTCAACGTTAGCAGTTCAGCTCGTGCTCTGTGTGTACATTTTTTCTCGAATTTTTTCTTCCCTTGTTTGCTGCGCGCTGGACGAAAGCTGCTTGTCGAATGTTATCGTCGTCGTGTTTGTGCGTTTAGGTTGTGTTTCAGAAATGCAATCGAAGTGTGCCGTGGCCACTATTAGCCACGTTTGTTTTCGGTCGCTAGAGTTGTCGGTTCTGATTTCGACGATGGTCGCGAGTTGATTCGGTCGGTGAGGAGCTGGCGCTGCGTCTTAATGGGGCATTTACACTTATGCTTTTTCACTAGCGCTAATGAGCCAGCTGCTAGCAAAAAAGCTCACCAGCATAATGTAAACAGGGCATCAGCGTCTACCAGCATGAGATTCAGGAGCAATTGAAATTCGTGCTATTTGGCTAGTACATTAGCGCTAGCACATCCGCACATATTTAAACACAGTTCACACTGTGTACTGGTGAACTGAAGCCGTTGTGTCGCGAGTGAATAGTGATGGAAAGTGGACGCAGTCCTTATTTTCTCTTCTGAGGTCACTCTAGTTGGAGCAGCTAGAGTGTGTTTCGTGGTTGATGGGGGTTTAAGCAGCTGTGTGCCACGTAACGTGCGTAAATCACCTTTTCGCGGTACATTACGGGATGTAAGATCTACCACCGATTCCTAGTCCTAACTACTTCAAACTAGGGGAACAGGATTTTTCAGTAATCCAAGGAACACATCTTAGTCCTTGTTACTTTTTATGCCTTGTTGATAGTGACAAGACTCGGCTTTGTCCACCGAGGATGATCTTGAAACAAGGAAAAAATGAGTTAGTTAATCTTCATCTATGTGATTCCTAATCTTCTATTCGTTGTTCCCTAGTTTGAAGTGATTAAGACAAGGGTTCTGATGCATGGTCATTATCGGTGTCATTCCTTAATTTTGTTGCTAAGGAATCCAATTTTGACTGACACAGCGGCGCGCCTTTGGAGAGTGTTTCAACACTCCGAAGGGTATAAATAGCGGGATCTTTCAATTTGAGACGGATCCTTGCGATAAATGCGAGAATGACAACTGTAAAAAAAATCGAATACTTCATCATTTCTCAATAGTGATTGAGTAATACAACATTCACTAAACTAAGGACACGGGATATACTACAATAGATCAAATTACTGGTCGCAGTGGTGTTAGATCCCGAACAGAGAAAAAAAAGCAGCTGTGTGAGGCGATAGTGCTGTTTTTAACACCGGTTAAAGAAGTAGCGGCAGCATATATATGGGAGCTCTTCGAAAACATCGTGGTGTTATGAATTCCTTTGTAACATCAGGTGAGATTTTTCCTTAATTTTTCTTTTAAATTCATTCCATATTCAGGGCACCCGATTGAAGCGAAATGGATGGGGAGAGTAGAAATGACAACTCCCTGTCTTTAACATTTCGTGAAAAGAGAGCGGGCTCTTCTTTCCACTCATTTGGACATCCTCCTGTTGGATGGCCTGTTTTTTTTACCAGATGTATGAAGGAGATTCTCATTTATTCCGTAGATGCACGTGGGCGAAGATGTCACGGATTCACCCAAAAACCTTTTTTGGCCCTTCATACAATGGCAGGTTGAGTACAGTTAGAGGTTATTAAACTTAATCAAGTCGACCAGTGATGATAATTTCCTGTAGATTAAATTAAATTTGAGAAGTACTGCCTATTTAAGACTAATTTTTTTTTCTTGATGTCACTTTGATGTCATACAGTCATAATTATGAAGGAAATAATACAAAATTTAAGAATTTAAGTACAACATGTTTGAAAAATTCGTGGTACTCATATTGCCCCTTATGGACTTCAGTCATGTTTTGTTAAGAAAAGCTGTAATGCGTATTGAAAAGAAACAAATGACCATTCATATAGCTGCTGAAGAAATATTAACGATTAGTTATAAGAACTACTGATTCAGAATCTTATATTTTTTTATATTTTGAGCTAGTCTAACATTATGCGAATATTCGCAGTTGCGAAAATAATTTGTTCAGATTAAAATCAAATAGATAGTTCAAGTAAGCTTCAAGCATTAGACCTGTACCACAATAAAAAAGAATACGTTCAATAAGCTGATTTTCAAGCGGGTGGCCACATTGCTCTATTGGCGAAATTGCCCAACTTTCCTCTACTGCACAAAATGATAATTGGAAAATTCGATTTTTCCAATGATTTTTCAGTATTATCAACTTTGCTTACATGCATTTTCGGGTACACGACGATAGGCATACGATTGTTAGGCATACGGTCGTTAGGCATAATGTACGATAGGCATAATAGACGTTGGGCATAAAGGACGTTAGGCCTTATGGACGTTAGGCATTAGGAATTCCAGAAGAATGATAATGGGGACCGTCTATTGATTGCTGACTTCGGTGACAATAATGAAAGAGCCTTAATTTTTGGAACTCATGAAAACTTGCGACGTCTTGGACAGGCAAAGTATTGGGTTACAGATGGTACGTTTTCCACAGTTCCTTGTTTGTTTCGGCAACTCGTTACTGTTCATGGAAGTATCGCTCTCTCACATCAGCAGACGATTCCGCTAGTTTTCATTATGATGACTACAAAAACAGAATCGTTGTATCGAAAAGTATGGCAGGAAATCCTGGAAGCAGCAGGTATGATTTTTTGTTATTGAATGAAAAACCACAGAATTCATCATTCTTCATCTCATGAGCTGTTCTTTGGAATCATATTTTTTTCAACATTTGCTGTTTTTTTGTTATTGAATGAAAAATCACAGAATTCACCATTCTTTATTTCATGAGCTGTTCTTTGAGAAAACCTTTTCTTCTTCGACAATTGCAATATGTGTGTAAGAATATATTACAACAAATGCGTGATTTTTTTTATTTTTAGATCGATTGATTTCAAGATAATAGTTCAAAACTATGCTGAGTTTTCATTACCAGATTACTTAACCGCTATCGATAATAATCTTGGATCTAAGTAAATACGTAGCTACGTCACTTATGATATGATAAATAATGGATTCCAAACTGTGCTTATTAAATAAACTATGTCATCATTTTTTATTCAACGCTTAGCCTAATTTAAGCATTGTTTACCATGCTCGAAACAGGTTTCTAGAATTGCACAGCAGCAAGGTATTTTATGCCTAACGTCCATTATGCCTAATGAATTTATGCCTAACGTCCATTATGCCTAACGTCCGTATGCCTACCGTCCGTATGCCTAGCGTATTTATGCCTAATGGGGTACACTCTGCATTTTCAACTAGTCATCAAATTAGGAAGAAGTATCTTTAGGCTACCTTAGCTGGAGTATTTACTTTGATATGGTTTAAACATATTTTGAATCGGTGAAAGTCGGTTAT